CAGCTAAGTCTTAGGTTTAGACTCACCAGTGAGTGGTGCCTGGACTGCAGCTAACAGCAGTAGTGGAGCAGCAATGATGGAGAAGATCATGACTTGGCGTTCTAGTCGCTGTAGAAGATCTACCGCCCTCTAGCTACGGAACTCCGCCGAGCAAAAGTCTAGCAATAGACTGTTCTAAAGGTAATAGAACTAGAGCCCTGAGACATCTCTCTCAGCCACAGTTTTCAGTAGAACATGCAGCAAACCACAGCTTCTTTTATAGCACTGCATCGTGCGCGCAGCCGGTGCACGAGCAGCTAGCTGGCTATCTAGCTGCTGTACGCGTAACTTTTTAACGACGCACCACGCGCTTATCCTGTCTCTCTCGCTTTCACGGAGTCTGAAAGTGAACGCGATGTGGCTGGGAAGGAGTCTTTCTATGCTAGCCCTCATCAATGACGGCATACTTGACCCAGGGGATAAAGTCCTGACCTTTGATTACATGGTGAGTTGTGGGGAAGTGCACACTGACAATTGAGTTGATAGTAGTAGTCTGGCGTAGCCTTCCGCGTGAAATAGGAGGCTACACCAGACTAGGTTGATAGGGCATTGTGAGGCCGAGGGGTACATAGCGGTGTTCGTTCACTGAGGGCGCGTGAGTGGCCAATCATAGCTCAACCTACCCATTGTTAGAGAAAAAGAGACAATGTCCAGAATATCAGAAATTCAACTAGCTATATTGATATATGTATAATATGCTCAAGAGGCTAGACTTGATCATGATCGATAGGATTGTGGTGGAGAGAGTTTTGTAAAAGGGTGCCTCTGATTATTTCCCAAAACTATGGGAGCATATTATAGTGCCCCTTGAGAACGACCTTCGTATTAGTATCATTCCTAGACTCCACCTACTCGTTACGTGCAAAAGGGGTCTGCTAACTCTAGATCTGAAATTGAGATCTCCAATCAGATCACAAAATTGCTCATTGATGCCACATCCAGCGTCCGTAGTCCACTGCGGGGCCTCGTATATGGAATGGTTCAGATACTTGACATCTTTAGGACCAGGTTTTGCATCATTTTACCAGGTGTTCCTCCCCTTTGCGGGTGGAGTGGCTGGGTACGGACTACTACCATATTATGTGACGGGCAGTCTAAAGGGGTTGTCTGTGTGTGCGCCGTCGCGCTATATACAGGCTACGAAACGGCCTATTAGCGATACCAGCGACTTCAGAACTACGCGTGCCTGAAAAAGAAGGTGATTTTCCTGAAACGATAGCGTTCGACAGATATGCCGTGAAAACAAGCAAAAAAGCCAATATGCATCATCTCGCTGGGCTTACTGCAACCTGATCCGCTCGCTCTGTGTATATACCTTGGGGGCTCAGGGAATCACAACGAATGGCATGTATCGATTCTCGCATGCTATCTACTACTGTAGCTAGTCCGTGTCAGACTCTCCGCGGGCTACTTGTGGGAGACCACGAGTAAACGTATACAATAGCCCAGCCCATCAATTAGCAGTATCGCGCATGTGCAGTTCGCCAACGGTTTGCACTTTAAACTACGTGAGTGCAGAACGATGGAGCGCACTGAGCAAGATTTCCTAGTGCAACTCTAACGGTGCAGACATACCTTATGGCCGGTATTTGCGAGGGTCGGCGGGCGGGTTGATGGTTCTATTCATTATGGACGCATTCCATAGATGGGTCAATTACAAGGGACTGCCCGAACCTCGGCCCGAACCGGAATATAAGATGGCGTCGGTAAACTTCAAGGTGCGCCACATCTGCTCGGCAGAAGAGGTAGCTGCAGTGATCCTCCCGAGAGCGGTTGAACTAGGGTGGAAACCTGGGGCTCTTGATCATGTAAGCTTCTTTCAAGCTGATGAATCGGGATTTTATGCGGGAGAATTAGACGGAAAGGTTATCAGCTACATTTCTGTCGTCAAATATTCTAAAGATTATGCCTTCGTAGGGCTATATATCGTAGACAAAGCATACCGTGGGAAGGGTTATGGGCTAACTACCTGGAATTATTCATTTTGCTCTGTACCCGAGGGCTGTAATTGTGCACTGGGCGCAGTAGAGGAAATGACCACAAAGTACGGGCGTCATGGTTTTAAGCCAGAGTGGAGAGTCAGACGCACTACTTTCAAAGCATCCCAAGAATTGTTGCAGCGTTTCGTCCCTAATGAAGTGGTAATTAAACCTGCAGTTCAAGTTCCATTCAAGGAATTATTAGAGTACGACACGTCTGTGCATATTTATGCCCGCGCGTCATTTCTAGAAAAGTGGATCTCCGCCCCAAATTGCTATAGCTATGCAGCACTAAACCAAGAGGGACAAGTAAATGGGTATGCTGTTGTCCGAAGTGCATTTCAGAAAGAGGATGGCTGGAAAATAGGCCCAGTGTTTGCCAATGATTCTGTAATTGCCAAAAATCTTTATCACACCATGATTGACAATGTTGCAGCACAAGATTCCACAGCAACTCTAACTGTGGACATACCTTATGGCAGTGGTTTTAATCCAGATGGCCTCGATATTGCAGCTGAGCTCTCTGGGAACATTGAGATGGAGATGGTTCGAATGTATACAAAGGGCGTTCCTCCCAAAATGCCTCTAGAGAAAATATTTGCAGAAACAACTGTTGAACTTGGTTGAATCTTAGGGACGACAAATTGATTGTTAGTGGTAGCTATCTACCAACCAGTAGATAAGAAAATTTACTTTCTAGGGTTGACAGTGAAAACGCCCCCTGCAAGCGTCTATAGTTTGCAAAGGTGCAAAGCTTTTTGAACCCAAGTAAGCCTTCAAATTCTAACAAAACTAATTGTGCACATTTTTTGTGCACTGACCTGTTGGTGGGTACATATATTTGTATCGTGACATCCACTCTTCACAGGTGGATTCACACTGCCTGGACAATAGGCCTGCATAAACACTTGCAGGCAATACGGGGTCAGAGTGGGTAGGTTGGGTCCGCCCTTTTTCGATGTTGTATGTTACGTACCTCCCTTCAGGGAAGAAAGTGTAGGCAAATAGAAGAGGTGGCCTATGGAAATCATGCACACACACGTGAGTTTGGGCCTGGTGTGTGCAAAGCTGGCCCCTTCATCCAGCCCTACCCGCTTTTTCCACAAGTGCTGTAACTGCAAAGTAGGGTGCAAGTTTCGTATGTTGTATGTCGCCACGTTGTCAGAGAGAGAGTGTGTGTGTGTGACGGGACTAAAATAGCTACGTATGTGAATTTGATGGCCTGTTTAGACATCTTCACACTACACTACCAATAACATTCTCAGACTTGCACCTCAGAGTTTACTTAAATTTCTTATAATGGGACATACAGCTAACTTTTAACTGACGAAGTTTGAGGTGCAGTGCATTTGGAGCTCACCTCCTGACAGAAGACTTCTTCCTTTCCCTTCTTGAACTGGGAGCATGCTCAGTAGCGAAGAAGCATCTGATTCCGATGCCGTTGCGCTGCTTAGGCTACTCTCAGTTATCTGACTTCAACAACGAGTAGTCCTAGATGAAGACAGCGTAGACTTCTCACGTATATTGATTATGGACGATTCAGTATGCAAATGTACCAGTTATTATGCTTGAAATTATACGTAGAAGTGCACAAAAAGAGTTTTGAAGTATATACAGAAAACCCCAGAGTATATACATGTCAGGAACAACCACTTGTGTGTTGTGTCTACAGTGGGGTGTGATAATGGAGTGGTGTGTGTGTACGACAGTATGTATAAGACTGCCTCAAAGGATTTGGTGCACCTTATAACGTCTATGGTGTATAGCAATTTGCATGACATGAAGATAGTAATGACGGATGTAGAAAAGCAGTCCAATGGCTCTGACTGTGGTGTACTGTCCATTGCCTATGCATTTGACATATGTATATAGTGGTTTGAACCCCTGTGAAGTTACAGTATGCGTAAAAAAAACGTTTCCACTATCGTTCAACACAATACCGTTTGGTTTCGCCGTATTCAGCCAAAAACCGAACGGAAACTGCGCGCAACGCCGTTCTATAACGTTTCGTTTCGTTCTTGTACGGTTCCATTTCGTTTCGTTCCGCGGAGTACCGCGCGGAGTCCAAGTGCCGCTTTTTTCGTCGAAGAAAGCCAGGCTCGCTGGAACACCTTCCGCTTCCCAGACGCGCTTCTTGCTGTAGGCCGCCTCCTCACGACTAGGAGAAGCCTTGGGACGCGTTTTTCAAAAGTGGGCGTAGCCCCCTTGCCGCTAATCGCTCGTGCGTTCGACGATCTCTGCTGGCACAGTCAAGGCGCATAAACGAAACGAAACGGAACGATTCACTAGGCAAAACCGAACGGTACCGCTGCCAAAAACGGCAAACAAAACCAGCGGTAATTACCGTTCACCAGAACGGAACTGAACGATAATGGAAACGCTTTTTTGACTCATACTGTAGGTTTGATCCCAGTAGGATCAGGCAGCATCTGGCCACCAGTCTGGAGAATCGTCAGGTTTCACGTTTCCCCACAGTGGCTGAGCGAAAGAGTGTCACTAGAAAGCCAAATAACATTGCTCTTGTCGCATGCCAGAAGAAGAAGGTTTCCAGATGGCAATGTGTGATTCCTGCCATGTCTGGTATCACCGTCACTACATGAATATCCCCAGTGATGTGTTTGGTGATTCTGAGGTTCACTGGGAGTGTAGGCGGTGCACCCACCTAGCCACTACTGCTTAATGTCACTCCAACTCTTTGCTATAGGTGAGTGCAATCTCTTTAATACACTGTTCTTTTTCTTTCTATTTTGTTTCCCTGTGGTCGGTAAATGTGCCTGAGCAAGCTGTTGCTCGATGCTCTGGTTGATTTTTAAGTGTGATATTTGTATAGAATGAATGGCGAGTGTGCATTATAATAATTTCTGTTCATATATACTTCAACATAAATGAGGTTTTATGAATTTCTATTCACAATTTTTGTTCACCTCTACTGAAGAGTGACAAAACGCCATAAAACTTGAATGTTTTTGTATAGAGTGACAATTCCCAAATTAACTCACTAGGTCACCTGTGGGAGGTGTTTGGGAGTGTGGTGAGGGTTCGGGGAACTGCAACGCTTGGGCTAGAGCATAGTGGCAGCCTGAGCAGACTTCTGGCTGATATGCAACCTGCAGACCTCACTGCCGTTAAGGAAGTGTATGGTGCCCTCTTCGATCGAGGTGATGGCCTGGAGAAGGTTAAGCTGCCGGCCAACCTCCCAGACTTTTTGAAGCCGCTCTTTCGGCATATGGCTTTCTGCCGGAACCGCCGGCCACCTGAGCCGCTATTCCATAATGGGGCAGGTAAAACGTGGGGCATGTGTCTGTTGGAAATGCGGCACCACGTGGGGACTGGCGCAGAGTGGGGAGTGAAGATTTCCACCACATCAAACACCAGCGACTGGTGTGGAATGAGGGCCAGTAACATAGCAGGTAACACCTTACACTGCATACCCTACCTTTTATCTCCTGGGGGGTATGGCCCATAATGTAGTGTTGTCGGCCCTGATGTTCTGAGAGGGGAACACTATTAATACATACATGTATTGTACAGTTAGATAATCTCATGCGTGCTACCATTAGCGAGTTTAAGAAGCGAAGAAGTGAAAAGACTTAGAGGCTAGGGTCCTGGCAGTGGGGGAAGTGAAGCCAGAAGACTGCCAAGTGCTGGCCCCGCTCCTGCTTCAGAAGGAAAAACGTGGGGTGTGCTCAGTTGGTAAGTTTGTTATGTGACCTACAGAAAAAGACGTCAACAATTTTGTATGGTAGGGGTAGAGGGGGTAGTGTGAGGTAGTTGAAGGTATGCAGGAAACAGTGCACAGCAAATTGCATTTGACTTGCGTAACAATCACTTAAGGTTAGGGATACTCATGTGGGCATGCCTACATGTTACACAAACCTTTTTAACTAGGAATGCGCACGCGCATATTTTGCGTCGCGCCTGCCAGCCAATGCGTAAACAGTCCGACTGAGGCCGCTCGTGCGTGCGCTCTACTGACTACGCGCGAAGCCAGACTTCCCACGAATCTGCGCGCATGGCGGAAGCTAGACTTCCTACGAATGGCGGAAGTTGACATTCCTAAGCGTGACTAATTGACATTCTTAAGCGTGACCGACACGTACGTACGCATATCGCGAGCATACAACCCGGAGTAGTTACCTCACACTAACGCGCTCGGACCAGCGTTTTAAGTGAGTGCAGGCTTACAATGCCCCTCCTCAGTCCTGCCCACACTATCAGAGAGTATCTGTAGGTGTGCTCTGCTGACGTTCAAGTGTATGTAGCTATGAGGCAGCCTCTGAGTCCGTTGATCAATGATCATACACTGCATTCCTCGACCTTCTCTCACATCCTTCATGCAATCAGAGCAATTTGTAGCGACGTCGTACGCACTGTACAGCCCCCGGACATATGGCACGTCTGTTGTACTCCGTAGAAACTTGCACAGCGTACCTTCACTTGTAGCTTTTTATGCGTTATTGTAACTACCACAGCGTATTCGGTGCTGCTCCTGTGCTCTCCTTAAAGTAAACGTGTATGTTCTCCTGCATGTTGTGTTATTTCCTAGTCAACCATTTTTTCCGGCAGGGCCCTGCCCCTTTTATGCACGACATCCTCATTTAACTCGAGACTCAAGCAGTGTAGTGTAGTGAGTGACAATGGGTATGGGAAGGGTAGGGTGGGGTGGGGAAAAGGGTTGCATTTTATTGACGCGTACTGTATTGTGTTCTCCTAATCTCAGGGTTCACCATAAATGAGAAGATTCTGACAATATTTCAATTGGTGCCTGATGGGCGTGCAACCCAAGCACGTTATGCACTGAGGCCTCACCCCAGGAGCTACATCACGTTTCAGAGAAAGATATATCTCACGCAGAAATTAGCAGATGTCCTGAATTTCATTGAAGATCTGTTGGCTCTTACAAGCCAGATCGCAGAGCAACACACTCCTCTCCCTGTCCCTGAACTGCCAGAGGATACTGCTACTCCCTCAGATACTGAAGGTAATAGGATTGGGCATTTGTTGGTAGAAGGACAAAGGGTAAGAGGAGGGGGATTTCAGCTTTGAGGAATAGTGCTGGGGTGTCAGTGACTAGTGCAAAGGGCAAGTTAGAGGTGGTAAAGAGGCATTATCAGCAGTTGGGCACTTGTAGTGTTGATACAGCCTTTGATGATAGTTGAAAAGAGGAAGTGGATAAGAAAGTGTGTGAGTTTCCAACAGATTGTGTGGAAAATGTATTGGATAGGGAAATAGATTTGGAGGAGATTGCATTGTGTGTTAGAAAGTTGAAGAATAACAAGACTGGTGGGCTTGTGGGGGAGCTTCTAAAGTATGGTGGGTCAGGGATGGTACAGTTACTGCAACAGTTGTAATTTGGCGTGAGGAGTTTGTGCCACCACAGTTGAGGGAGGGCCTCATAGTTAACTTCGTTGGTGTTAGTGAGTCTAAGGATCAGTTATAGATGTGGTGCATGCTTAATGTCGGAAATGGAGGCTAAAGGCTAATGTGAGTAAGAGTGCAGTGATGGTGTTCTCTAGGGAGTCAGTGGATGGAGCTTGGAAATGGGGGAGGGGGGAGCAGGGTGTTGGTTGAGGGGATGGAGGCCGTAACCGAGGCTCATATCCTGGTCGAGAGGCGAAGAGTAAGTTGAGCAGGTACGGTTTGTTATTCCGAGACTTGTCGACTTGAGACACGGAGAGAGGTTCTGCTTAGTTTACATGCGTAGAAGCAGCACATTGAGGACGATTGGGGGCCCGTGGAGGTAGGGGATTGCGACATAGACGTCAGGTTGATAGGTGCGTTCTAGGTGCGTGCGGGAGTCTAGGGATTTGAGTTGTTGCGCTTGGGTAACGAATTGTGGGGATCTGTGTATAGGATTGTGGGGTGGGGGAGAGGCTAGTTTGGGGATGATAGACGAGGAGCCAGGAGTAGATGGGGAGTGGAGGAGAGGAAGGGAGGGGGGAGGAGGCGGTGAGGGAGGGCGGGGAGAGTTGAGACAGAGGGGGGGAGGGGAGGGAGTAAGTAGATGTTCCATCCCCTGGTTAGTTAGGTTAGCTCTTTAGCTAGTAGAGTAATTTTTCAGTTTAGAGTTCCCTTAGGAGTTTTAGAGAGGATCTCTTGAGAGATACGTTGTAGAGTTTACTGCTTACGAGTGCCGAATTCCCAAGGGTACAATTTCCGCCGGAGCGATACGTTGATCACTCGAATTTGTGACCTCTTAGACTTCCGCCGATTGCAGGAGAGTTAGAGTATGACGAGTCCAAAATATATGCTCATTGAGATTCAATTTGTCTAGAGATAGAATCTAGATTAATATCCGGTGGAGGTTAGTAAATGTCATGAGAGAGGCTACTGAGTTTAATAGATGAGCAGTAGCTCAGGGTTAATATAATGGAGCTAGTCTACAGATGATAGAGTTAGAGTTGATTTAGTTTATTTTATTAGAGCTATAGACTTAGGTTTGTAGAACTAGTAATATTGTCTAGTCGTTTAGAGGTTTTCGTTGGTGTTAGTGAGTCTAAGGATCAGTTATAGATGTGGTGCATGCTTAATGTCGGAAATGGAGGCTAAAGGCTAATGTGAGTAAGAGTGCAGTGATGGTGTTCTCTAGGGAGTCAGTGGATGGAGCTTGGAAATGGGGGGAGCATGTTTTGCCTAGAGTATCTAAATACACATACTTGGGGGTTGATTAACCCTCGGCGCGCATGCGCAGCAATGGTTACGGTAGTTGGTTTGTGTGTGTGTGTGTCCGCGACTATTCTCGCACTACAGGCTACAAGGCGGCCTAAGAGCGATATTAAATGCTTCAGTGCTACAAGCGCTTCAAAAAAATGGTGATTTTTCTAAAACGACAGCGTTCGAGCGCGAGAAACTGCCACTGTCGCGGACCGAGTTGCGTGGCCCAACCCACACTTGTGGTGCGCATGCGTATTGATTCACGCGTGCACGCATTTGGGGCGCACACCGTGCGTGACGTGCGTACGTACGTACGTACTGCGTTCCAGAGATATGCCATGAAAACAAGCGAAAAAGCCAATATGCATAATTGCACTGGGCTTACCGCGACCTGATCCGGTCGCTCTGTGTACCTAGGGGGCTCAGGATGTCAAAATAAATGGCATGTATCGACTCCCGCATGCTATCTAGTACTGTAGCTAGCCCGTGTCAGACACCGCGGGTAAACGCCAATAGCCCAGCCCACAATTCGCAGTATCGCGCATGCCCAGTTCGCCGAGGGTTTGCACTTTAGTGCTTTTCATTTTACTAGTACTGGTGCATGGGATGTGCATATCAAGAATGTGTTAGACAACCGTAGAAGGAAGGTTAATCAGTTGCATAGTGTAATGAGTAATAGGGATATTAATTTGAGTGCTAGCAGGTTGTTGTTGCTGGCGGTGGTTAGGCCAACTTTAGAGTATGGGGGTGAGGTGTGGGAAGCCAATAAGACTCAGGCAGCTGCGTTAGAGTCCGTGATGCTGAGAGGAGCTAAGCGTATTCTTGGTTGTTCGTCTAAGACATGTAATGAAGCCGTTAGGGGGGATATGGGGCTTGATACGTTACAAGGGCTTACTGATAAGAATAAGATGAAGTGGTGGTATAAGTTAGCGGCATTGCCAGGCAATAAGGTATCCAAAGAAGCTTTTTAACCAGGAATGGAATTTTAAGCCACGGAGAGGCAGGCAGAGGAAGTGCTGGAGTAAGGTCATTGATGATCTCTTTTCGTCATTAGGTCTTGAAAAGGCAGAGTGGTTGCATGATATTCAAAATGGGGATTGTTCTCTACACTTGATCATTAGCATATTCATATTCCTCCTCAATACATTCTCTATGGGAGAAAAAACCCGTGCGCGACTCACCCATGAGCGAACGGTCCGTCTCCATTATGCGCAATGGCGTTCTTTCTGCCTCCTGCGGCACGCGCAGGCGTATTAGAGCCATCCCGAAAAATAGGCGTGGCCAAGTTTTGAGCATTACGTTTTCACGTTGTCCTTTGCCACCCGGTTACACCCGTTTTTTTCTCTAGCGCAAAATTAGCTTCCCGCGTACCGAAGCAGGCAAAGAAAGTCACTGCGCATAATGGAGTGAGTCGCGCACGTGTTTTCTCTCTCATAGAGAATGTATTGAGGAGGAATATGAATATGCTAATGAGTTTGGAAAACAAGGTAGGATAAATCCGAGAAATATACCTAAATTCACCATAAATCACCAGCGTTTTTGCTGTGCCATTGAAAAAATATCTGAAACATACACCCACGCACAATCGTTAAGGATTGGTTCTTCTGCTCGCTCGGTAGTTCTAGGGGGCATGGCCTATGGGGCGTGACTTGTGCGTGGGGGCACGGTCACTTGTGCGGCTTCCGGAAGTAGTTGTGCACTGGGTCTGTTCTCTACACTTGATCCGTTAGACCATTAGCTGCTTACCTTTGAGCATGCAGTACTAACCCGGTGCAGTAGAAAGCTTTTCTGCTGTGATCTCTGGGTCCAAGAAGAAGGTAGCTGGTATCATCATGTAGTGTAGTGATGTAGCAACCTTCGCCAAACAAACTAGTTGGCAAAAAGTGCGAGCAGAGTGCAAGAAGCTTTCATGAATGTCGCAAAAAAGCGCCTTCACCCACACGCGTAGATTTACGTTGGGCGCGTGTTTAAGTTCAGTTCAGGCACGCATGGGCTAAATGAGGAACTGGGTAGGCATAGGGGGAAGGAGAGGATGAAGGAGTGCCTGTTCTATGATGATGAGTGTGAAAGTGAGTCATGTGTTGTGGGAGTGTCCAGCATATAGTAGCAATTTCTTAGTTGCCCTGCAGGGGAAGCTTGGGGATGATGGGTTTGAGCATTTCCAGTCAGTTTCAGGAAAGCATCCTTTATTTTAGGTAGTGAGCAGACACCTCATGTTCATAATGGTGTATGTTTGTTTGTTAAAGGTTCCGCCCATTGCTCTGGATGCGTGGTCTTTGGCTCTAGTGCTATGGCAGCCACCTGAGTATTATTATTATTACTGCTACTCCCTTAGATGCTGGGACTGAGGAGCCAAGGAGGGATTTCGAGCGAAGGCTTTCTGATCTAGAGGAGTTGTTGAGGAGGCTGGCGCCGTTTAAACCTGTCCACTAAACTCAGTTATGTGTGCATGTATGTTATTTACATGTACATCCGAATCTGACTATGCATAGCAAAGCCTTGTGGGGATGAATCTCATTAGTTCAAAACCACAAGTGCTGCGCTCAACTCTGCCTTTATAAACTCGTGATGCCAGAGAGAGAAGTTGCGGTATGCTTTGCTGATGAGGGCTAACAAGCGCGAAACAGCAGAGCTCCGCATCTTTTTTTCTCTTGGCATCACATGGTCTATTGTTACATGAATATGTTTACTAAACTCCACTGAACTTTGGTTATGTGTGCATCTGAATATTGAACTGTCAAATATTGAATAATGCGACGAATCGAAATGATGGAAGACGGAGACAAACGAAACGAAAGTCCATCGTCATATTGTGAACCCGGCTTAAGATTTTCATTGACAGTGCGTGGGCAATAGTCATGGAATCGACGCAAAATGAGCTCAATTGGTAGCTTACATCAGTGCGAGGTCGGACTGCGCCGTTCCTGCGACCTTTCTTTTCATCTCTGGAGGTTCATAGCAAGGAGCAACCAAAACTGGGTGGAATAGCAAGCTACATGTGTATGTACTGTTGGATTACTAGTCATCTATGTATTATACATAGCACATTCATGGTTAGCCTCGTTCCATGGCCTCCAGAAAAGAGGGAGCGTACATACATCACACAAGCAATTATGCCTGGAATGCACACTTCGGTGCTTACCTTTACTGCAGGACCAGTGTTCATAAGTCTTGTCTTCTAAAAAGTAGTCACGTTACCAGACTTCCCATGTGGAGAGGACATAATCGAGGTCCCCGGCTACCTTTGCAGGGCAGCTTGTATTCCCAACATTTTGTGATAGAAGCTACCTTGCTATTTAGAAATTTATGGTTCCTCTACTGTAATTACTCTTTGCTGTAGCAGTATATAGGCTATGTGGCCTCTGCATTGCCTATTCCATTTTCTATCCTTTCCTGCCACATGCACAGGTGTACTTCAAGATTTTTTGAACACGTGTGCATAAACATGGTCTGCACAATAGTGCAACTGCCCACACTTACTCAAATTCTACACATCTCGTCCTCTGCCCAAGTATTATATATACTCCAAAATTAGGGCATTATGCTAGCTCATAATGCTAGGCCCCTCTTTTCTACATGCATACCAAGAAAAGAGCAGGTGGAGACACATGCAGTCACACTGCCCTTATGAAAAAGGCTTTAGTGTGTAGGTGAACCCAAGAGTGAGTTAGTCATTGTAGTAGCCTCATGCCTACACTGCATGCCCTTATGTGCTTCAAATCTGTGGTACGACAAATGCTAAAACACCACGAGCTTATGAGCTAGTTTGCTTGGACTAACATACAGGACATATACAGTACACCTGAACCGATTGGCTGACATGCCGAGCCCTCTGCTTTACAAGATTAGTATTTCAGCGTGCATGTGGCAAGGGACAGAAGAAAAATTAGGAAGGGTTGAGACTCACTCACCCCCATATTATGACGATAAAAGGGTCGATACTGCAACACCTCAGAATTATCTCCGTTACAGAAAGAAAAAAAACCCGGAACAACCCCGGGGGAACAACCCCAGAGATGGTTTTCGTCCCTCATACCATCTTGTCTCCCTTTCTTTTTATACGATCCCTATATGCCTCTTTTTTTAAATTTGCAGGATTTTTAATTTACCTGTTTATAGTGGGAGAACTCGTCAGCCGGCCCCACTTTTTAGGCAGTAAAGACATTATGCTTGACACATACACCCAGCGAGTTTGCATGTGTGGTGTATGTGTCCAGCAATAGCTTTACGATCCGTGAAAGTTTATTATACATTTGCCACAAGTGTTTTCTCCCTTGAATGTTTCGTGCAACACAGTATTAGTGGTTGACATTTGCAACAAAACTTCATGTAAAGAGGACATCTGAGAGCAGGTTACCTCACTAATTAGGACACCTGAGAGAGCAGGATACCTCACTAATTGGGACACCTGAGAGCAGGATACCTCACTAATCAGGACACCTCACTGATCAGGACACCTCACTAATTAGGACACCTGAGAGCAGGATACCTCACTAATCAGGACACCTCACTAATTAGGACACCTGAGAGCAGGATACCTCACTAATCAGAACACCTCACTAATTAGGACACCTCACTAATCAGGACACCTTTTTCTAAGGAAAAGACACTTTTTCTAAAAGTGTCTTGATATCAGAAGAATGTGCAATGATTCGTGAGACGTCCCATTTCAGAAGACACTGATTGGAATTGTTTTTGCCCACCTTGTTACTTAACATGAGGTGGCAGAAAACATGGTAACAGTTGGACAGACAGAAGGACAAACCAATTAAACCCTCACTGCGCTCACCAATAAGGACACTTTCTTCTGAGAACAACACTAAGTGTCCTAATGAGTGAGTTGTCCTGAGTGTCCTCATTTTGTGACAACTGGTTACATACAAATAAGGTGTTATACTTTTTTAGCAAGAAGTTTGGCGGAAGGACAAGTGCTTTGACTATAGCTGGAGATTGCACTGAAAAAAATGGTTGTATAAAGTATTTGTACTTTCAGCAAGATTTTGGGCAGAAGCACCGGTCAAAGGGAAATGTGTACACACACTGAAACATAGATACTCTATATACTGTGCATAAATATTTAACTGTAACAAGGCTCTTGACAGTAGCCCCACTCAGGACAAGTAGGTAGCTAAGGCTTACCCAGCTACGTAACATGCAGGTATATACCACCTGTGCGCATACTTACATAGAGAAAGAATGGCATTAGTCAAGTGCTTGTGGGCGTTCAACACGACGCTCGCATAGTGTGCACGATAATTTGTGTGCCAGGTACATTAGAGGCAAATTGCACATGTGCAGAACAGAGATGCAAGTAGTCAGATATGCGAAGTGCCGAAAAAGCAAGGGGTCACTGTACATACCACCACAATCATCTCCATTTTGTGCATGTGCATTTCCCTCTAATGTAACAGACACGCAAATTATCGTGCACACTAGTATACCCTTATTGATGTCACCTTTTAGAACACTGAAAGAAGTGTGAAGTTTGAAGACATTACCAGGGAAGTAGTGGAGAAGCTTAGAGCCTCGTGCTCTGACTATGTTGACATGAATGACAAATAGCCGCCGGCATTCCTGACGTATCGAGCCAGACTGGAGGGGACCCCTGAGACAGACAGTGGCTCCCTCATTTATCTGATAGGGGAGTGGGTGAGAGGTGGAGCCAGTACTTATGACAGTGAATGCCGAATGTCCAGTGGCAATTTCTTGTCTCAGCGAGGAAGAATGTATCAAAAGTTACCCTTCAACACCCTCTACTCTTACTACTGATGGTTCTGAGTCGTTGTTCTCGTTATCAATGCCATCACTATCCTTCTCATTATCATTGTGCTTGTCCTAAGGCACCATCACTCAAAAAACTCTCTCAAGAATGGAGACAAACTGTACGTTATAACTATTAGTGCTTTTCATTACACAATAAGTGAAAACTGTCTAAGACAACTGTTTCCATGTACCCTTATAGAGAGGAACAGCTAAAGAAAAAACGGTACAATCAACACCTCCGGTAATAAATCCTATGGGGAAATAAAACAAGGAGAAGGGTAATGAGATGATAGTCATACCTCCAAGTGGTCCAACTGTTCAAACTCATGAGGAGAGAATGCATGAGAGTCCTTCTGTCTCTACCCAGGGAGAGGCTGCTGCACGTACTACTGGTGACAAGGAGGAGGAAGAGGATGGAGTTGATGAGGCCATCCCGGGAGACAATAGACAGTTACAACGATTGGAAATTATAGGCTAAACAACAAGACTATAGCTACTTGAACAATGAAAAGCACTAAAGTGCAAACCCTCGGCGAACTGGGCGTGCGCGCGCGGTACCGCTAATTTGATGGGCTGGGCTGCTATTAGTATGCGTTATTACTCGTGGTCTCCCGCTAGTAGCTCGCAGAGTCTGACACCTCTAGTGCATTAAGGCCTGGGTGTATCAAAATCATGGAAAATTTCAGATTTTTGTTTGTTTTGAGAGTGTCACATTACCTTTTACTTTCAAACTTGGTAACGTGATAAAACTCATAGATCTTAACTCCCTTAACAAATTGTGACCACGCCCACATTATTTGTTTGTTTGTTTACATGTAATTCGTATATGCGTTTAGGCGGATTGCTTACACTTCGAATTAAGAATTAATCTTGAGCTCAGAGAAACAAGTACATACTAAAGTATATCTTTATCCAACGGGGAAATGAAAAAAACTAGTAACGCGTCGATAACGAACTAAAATATCGAAACCGCGCCCAGTTTTACGATAAGAACGGGCCCTGCATCTAAACTGTCAAGTTGCTCACCTTCCCCGTTGGATAAACAGTCAGAGGACTTTGCGTTGTCTTCTTAACGTAAAAAGTAGCTATAGACTAAGCGGAAACCCTTCCGCCTAAGCGAAAACAGTTGTGAAAAACCTACTACCTACCCGTCCGCGTTCCGCGCATGCGCATATTCGTTAAATGACGTCCGTACATGGCGTTATTCCGTATATTTTCCGTGAAACGTTACTACGGGGGCGTGGTTACGTGATTCCGTCCAGCTTCCGGTTTGCTGCTCGCGGACAGGCCTTAACGCACCAGAGACGGGCTAGCTACAGTAGTAGATAGCATGCGGGAGTCGATACACGCCCTTCGTTGTGACTTCTCGTGCCTTCAAGACAAGCGGACCCGAGCCCGTTGAAAATATAAGCGCGTGCGCATTTTCCGCAGCGATAAAATGGCCGACTAGCATTAGCCGTACAATGGCGGAAGCGCTCTAGCTTCGCAACGGAGCGTTTTCAGAGAAAACTGTCCGGTCGTTCTGACCTTCGTCGCCTGTTGGGTAGATGGTATCGTTTCTGGGACGAACAGACACCCGAGAAGTGAGATTGAGAGTAACAGACAGACAGCAGACAGACAGACAAACCCAACTACTGTAACCCTCGCTGCGCATGCGCGCCGAGGGTTAAAAATGATTAGAAAGTAGGTTTTTCCTTTTTCGTTGTAAGGTAATTCAAGAGCACTTGTTTGTTTCTTCTTTGAGTGGCAATTAATGTCTTAACTCTCGGTGCGCAGGAGCAGCGAGGATTACAGTACTTGGTTCGTAAGTGTGTCTGTCTGTCTGTAACCACGTTTTCTGCGACTATAATAATTATATACGACGAGCACCGAGACAACAAAACAGCGATACCAACGTGCGGGTTCATCGCTACACTGGCTTCATTTTAAAAAGGCGATTTTCGTATAACTACTGCTTTTAAAGTTATGGCGTGAAAAGCAAGTGAACAAGCCAATAAGCAAATTAGCACAGGCCCGGGTCCGCTTGCTTTGTGCTTCTTGAAGGCACTACAAGTCACAATGAAGGGCGTGTATCGACTCTCGCATGCGATCTACTACTGTCGCTAATCCTTTCTCCACTAGCGGGCATACTAAAAGCCCAGCCCATAAATTAGTCGTACCGCGCATGCGCAGTTCGCCACTTTAGTAGTTATGGTATGTGATTTTCATCTTAATTAATTAATTAAATAGAGCTCCTAGAGCATTTTCTTTGTGAACTCCACTGTCTTCTTCAGCTCTAACCTGGCTCATGGTAGCTACTCCACCATCGTCAATGGCAGAATTAAAGAACGGCACAGAAACTGAGAGATCCCATCTTGTTACTAGACTATAATAGTTATGAAGTGTAGAGCTACTATGCACAACACAATATTTGGCTACCTTGCACTCTACAGCTACTTATTATCTCTTTGAAATTATGTTCTGTTCCCCTGTGGGAATCTTATAGGTACTCTGCTTCTCCCTTCTGCCCTGTCTTGGTCTGAGCGGTAGTCAGTGTTGTTACTGGCTCAGCCACAACATCGTAAACATCATTAACATAATCAGGAGGTGTCCCTGCAGTATTAGCTTCTCTTTCAGCTGTCCCAGAAGATGATACTGCTTTTATTACGACAGCTAAAAATGCCACAACTGCTGCCACTAATATGTCCTTCCCTTCACTCCACACCTCTCACGGTGGACTGTACACTTGTCAAGTTACTGCATTGAATGCTGCTCCCTCCTATATTATATTCATCTCCAATCACTCTCACTGTCAAATGTAAGGAGAATGGATGATAATGTGTCAAATTGTTATGTTACCTTATGTACATACCCATGCATAGTGCCCACCCCAACTGTAACCCTTAATCAAGATGCGAGTAGTCTACTTTATGAAGGCAGTGCTGTGACGTTGACCTGCACTGCCACCCTACATCCTTCAGTAGACACTGATGTGAATCTTACAGCACAGTGGACACCAGCTATCTCCAGAAACAGAGTCGCCACATCCCCTCCGTCTAGCTCAAGATATCCATTTACCTCAACACTGGCTATCAGTCCACTGGCCATTACTGATGCTGGCCAGTACAACTGTGAGGTCATTGCCTACTCATCATCTCCATACATCATAGCCAGTGAGCCAGGAGTAAGTCCACGGCTTAACCTGACAGTCCAAAGTGTGGAGCAGAACATGAATGACACTGGTAAACCTGTCTCTTAACAATTTTTGTGCCCTTTTACCCGTTACTCTTTCAGCTACCACCACACCTGACTCTGGTTCTGCTGTTTTCAGTCTCAGTCCTCCGGCTATTGCTGCAACAGTAGTAGCAACAATTATCACTTTTGTAACCATTGTTACTATGTCTCTGTTAGTAAGAAACCACAGGAGGAAATCTTCCACGAGCAAGAAGTAGGGTTCTACAAACATCATACTGTTACACAAGGTTTATTTCCTCTTCCCTTATGCAGACGTGAAACAGTGAAAATGGAAGTCTCGAAAAATGAGGCGTATGGGATGGTGGAGCAAAGTGGAAAAGGAGCTTATACTGCAGGGACACTTCCTGATTATGTCAATGATGTTTATGATGTTGTGGCTGAGCCAGTAACAACACTGACTATCGCTCAGACCAAGACAGGGCAGGAGGGAGAAGTAGAATACCTATAAGATTCCCACAGGGGAACAGAACATAATTTCAAAGTAGCTGTAGAGTGTAAGGTAGCCAAATATTGTGTTGTGCATAGTAGCTCTACACTTCATAACTATTATAGTCTAGTAACAAGATGGGATCTCTCAGTTTCTATGCCGTTCTTTAATTCTGCCATTGACGATGGTGGAGTAGCTACCATGAGCCAGGTTAGAGCTGAAGAAGACAGTGGAGTTCACAAAGAAAATGCTTTAGGAGCTCTATTGATGCAAATCACATACCATAACTATCACTAAAGTGGCGAACTGCGCATGCGCGGCACGACTAATTTATGGGCTGGGCTTTTAGTATGCGTTTACTCCCGCTAGTATAACTCGCGGAGAGTCTGAAACGGATTAGCGACAGTAGTAGATCGCATGCGAGAGTCGATACACGCCCTTCGTTGTGACTTGTAGTGCCTTCAAGAAGCACAAAGCAAGCGGACCCGGGCCTGTGCTAATTTGCATATTGGCTTGTTCACTTGCCATAACTTTTAAATTAAACGCAGTAGTTATACGAATATCGCCTTTTTAAAATGAAGCCAGTGCAGCGATGAACCCGTTGGTATTGCTGTTTTGTTGTCTCGGTGCTCGTCGTATCGTCGCAGAAAACGTGGTAACAGACAGACGGACACACTTACGAACCAAGTACTGTAATCCTCGCTGCTCCTGCGCACCGAGAGTTAATAGTAGGCAGTTCACCAGGCCTTCTCCTCCCCCGAGAAGGTGTGGCTCCGCAAGGACCGCCCGCGCGGTTAAAAAAGAAAGTGCGGAAGTTACACGGACTTCTTCCCGCTCGGTCTCTTTGTCTCCTGTCCTGGACGAAGTTTTCCCAGTGAAAGTAGGTTTTGCAAAGAACTGATAAGTAAAATATGTTAGTAGCTGGTCTAGATGTACTAGTGTTATTAGTGTGCAATGCATTGAGTACCGAAGGATTCGTCCTCAAGCAACGGAGAGAAGCATCTGCAGAGAATGAAGGTCAGAATTAGCTACTTTGCTAAAAAGGATAGCTATTTATAACTGTTCCTTGGCAGTGGGGAATTTTATTTAGATGCGGCACAGTTGCAGTATGACATATCTATGCGAGCTGCTGCCCACCAACAAAATTAATATGAGGCTCTTGGAAATAATAACCATGTCGCTATATAGCTATACGCAGCGAACTATGTCGTGTTAGCTGTTGATCCTATTTGTTTCCGTCTACAAGTAAAACCTATTATGTCTTATTGCCTAAAGTCTGTGTAATTTTGAGGCTACAGCTGAATTCCGTTTCACTGCATATCAGGGCTGTAGGGCTACAGCTGCACGGAGCTGCTTTCTTAGAGTCCATCACACGTTTTCTGCTACGTTACTGTTCTGTGACTAGATGGTGGATGTGATTGTGACGGGGAAGTAAGGCTTGAGGGAGGAAGAAACAGGTTTGAAGGGAAAGTTAGAGTTTGCGAGAATGGAGAGTGGAGACATATCTGTGTCGGTGTCCTTGGCTCTGATTGGAACATTGATCACGGGCAAGTGGTATGCAGATCTCTTAACTACCCTACAACAGGTAAAGTCTTGGCAAGCAGTAGCTATGTGGCTATGCATGATCAACTTCCTACAAACATTATGTATATGCAACCTAACAATTCTGTAGCTAATTCTTTTGTTCTCAGGTGTGCTTATTGCCGGTACACCGAACAATGTCACTGAAACCGCAAGACATAGTACTTACGCGTGTAGTGGATCTGAGGCTAATTTGACTGAGTGTACACAAACAGAGTATAGCTTTGTCTGCTCAAGAATAGGAGAGGTGATATGCCAAGGTTTGTATTAACAGTGAAAAGTCAAAGGGTAACAGTCTGTTTCTTACACAATCTCAGTGCCAGAAGAACAAAAGGAATGTTCTAATGAAGGAGATGTCCGACTGGTGACTGGTAGTGAAGTGTCAACAGCTCACGGAAGGGGCAGAGTAGAGGTCTGCTCAAGTATTGGACTCTGGGGCACTGTTTGTAACAATGACTGGAGCAGTGAAGATGCCAGAGTCGTGTGCAGAGGATTAGGCTTCAATGGAACAGGTTTGTGTATAGAGACAAACGATCATTATGTAGTACTTGGCACCACTATATACTATGGTCGAGAAACATTGTTCTGCTGTGTCATTCAGACTGTTTGGCACCCATGAGGTGATATCAAACATAAACATCTCGTGTAAATTTTCTATTGCGTAGGCCACATAGCAGTGACTGAAGTGGATTCGTTTGGTTCTGGTGAAGAGTTGGCTCCTATTCTCATGAGTGAAGTACACTGCAGTGGACATGAGAGCAGCATCACTAGGTGTCCTCACAGAACTAAAGACGGCAACATGGTTTGTGACCATCTTGAGGACGCTGGGGTTGTGTGCGTCATGGAGCTCAATGAAACGGGTTGGTTGTGTTTTAATGAATGATCCAGGTGTATTCAACTTTCATGAATAATTAAATTCCCATGCACCATAATTATACATACAATCGTGGATACGACAGTTTGTAGCCCAGAGGCCATAATTTTTAAATAAAAGTACTGTCAACGAGGGTAAAACTAACCACGTGTTCACATGCACCTCGGTACGTATATACGAGTATCTGACCGACTGACGACTGAGACGACGAAAAACAGCGTAAAACTATGTTCTCTGTGGTGGATCTACGTTCTGCACACCGTGAGGCCGAGCGTGGCAATGTGCAGACCTTCCCTAGAACTCAACACCACAGTGTTCCTTGTCTATATACAAAATTGTTAACCTACGGCGTGCTTCAGTGGTACTGGATATGACGTTTCCTATACCATCCTTAGACTGAACCCTCGGACCGTATTTGTTTCAGCGCCTGTATGTTATATATCTGCAAGCTAGTTCCCACTAATATTAGGATCTCATTTAGAGTGAGTGCTTCACGTTTAGCGCTCTGGCTTTCATGTTCGTTCGTATGGTGGCCGGAGCGCTTCTAACGATGAACCCGATGGAGACACGGCGGATTGACGTAGTGACTCCGCTGACGTGTGTGCACGAGATGATCTATCGGCGCGCATGCGCAGCAAGGGTTACAATACTTGGTTCGTAAGTGTGCCTGTCCGTCTGTTTTTTATTATTTTATAGGATCTTCACAACCAATGAATTCACCTTCATCAAAGAGCATGGATACATCAGCAGTCACCATAGGCAGTGTCGGTGCTGTTATAATATTGCTACTGACTGTGGTGGTCGTTGTACTAATAGTGTTGAAGGGAAGAACTGCCAAGTATTCTAAGAAAGAACGTGCCCTTTTTAGCGAGGGCATCTACCCTGATTTGGGTATGGACACATGAGTGATAATTGTGGTGCATTCCAAATTGTGCTCTTTCACAGATGATGGAAATCGGTCCGTAGAGCTCCAGGAACAGTTGTGTTGGCAGCTTCGACATAAGAACATGATTATTTCTAAATCACAAATTCACCTTTCCAGCACCATTGGGCAAGGTAGCTATCTCCAGCTGTTAAAATGTTCATTAGTAATTGTATATCTGATATACACTAAAGGAGAATATGGATTGGTGTTTAAAGGATATGTTAATGGCTCTAACATAGCTGCAATAAAGACTAGCAAAGGTAGGACAAGATGGAATATGCATTGGTTGATGTGTTCATATCTGTTCAGCACTGTCTTCTGAGAGAGAGAAAGAGAACCTGCTGAAAGAGATGAGTAAGATGGCATCATTTGAACACAAGAATGTGATGACCCTCATTGGAGTGTGCCTTGACGGAGAGATGCCTCTGATAATAATGCCATTTATGGGGAAGGGGAATGTGTTGGAGTATGTCAGAAAAATGAACGAAAATCAATTGCAAGTATGTAAATTTTTTCGCCTTCAAGCTGTGTAGTCTGATTGCAAATCTCAAGGAAACGACAATGAAGACAAACTTTCTTGGAATTTGTCACCAAATCACAAAAGGAATGAGGTACCTGGCAGACTGCAAGTTTGTCCACAGAGATCTTGCAGCCAGGAATTGCATGTCAGTAATATATACCACCAAATTATAGCTAGATATTCTGACATATAATTATATAATATATATCAGTGTCTATGTCATTTATGTATAGGCAGCACAAATCTCAGCTGTATAAAAGTGTGATACATGTAATGGCACAGGATTGAAGAGCCAGTGCTCGCTTGCCAAATATAATCAACACAGCAAGTGGGCAGATCTCTATAATGATTATGTCAGCTATACCCAGTAGCCTATTTCCAAAGCATTGATGTGAGGAATTTGTTATTAAATTAGCCGGTTGCTGTAGGATTGACGAGAAGAATATGATCAAAGTGGCCGACTTTGGACTCTCTGAAAATGTGTACAGTTCTGGCGGCTACGTCTGCCAGAGCAATGAGGAGGCTGTGGCCAGGGAGGAGAAGGTGCCCATTAGGTGGATGGCTCCTGAGAGCATCGAGAGTGGCAGATACAGCGAGAAGACTGATGTGGTCAGAAAATGCACTAAAGATGCCCAGATATAGTGTTCCATTATGTACATGTGTTTGTGTGTGTACAGTGGGCATTTGGAGTTACGTGCTGGGAAATATTCACTTTTGGACATGTCCCATACTCTGGGATCCGTGCCATGAGCATTCTGAATGTCCTCAAATCTGGCCAGAGACTGGAGAGACCTATCAACGACATCTGCTCTGACAACATGTAAGATAAAATAAGTTTTGAGATTGGGTTTTACCCCTCCAATCGAAGCAGCTATGATGTTATGACAGTGTGCTGGTCAGAGATCTCTGGTGACAGGCCAAACTTTGAGAGCCTTGTCCATACATTTGATGACATCCTGGAGAGAGAGTCTGGATATATCGACCTCTGCTCATGAACTGTGAAACATTGTTACATTCTGTGGAGTGAGCTACAGCTACTGAGTAATTGCAACACTTTTTAGTAAACTTTAGAAGTTATGTGTTCTCCCCTAAGAATACTGTTATTGGGTAGCGAAATGTAGTCACTTCGAAATCGCACGATTTTCCTATCACACTCATGAACATGCATGTTTGAATATTACGTACAGCAGGTCGCACTCATAATATTAACACCTCACCAGTATCAATCGAGGTAGGGTGGATAACATTGAGGCTGTTAAACATTGTGTGCATGCAACCGACACTCTATATAGGGATGGCACGCGTGAAATATCACGTGATCCGCGCCTAAAAACTCGTTGAGAATGACTCCTTAGGCCTTCAAAACACACTAGCAATAGTCTACTGGCCCATATCTACCTAAACATGTTCCCAAAGACCTCATACGCACCTTCAGTTCTCCCCGCGAGACTTCGCTCATACACAATTTTCGTCTTCTTCAATCCCGCTATCTCCTTACAAGAACCAGTTGAAGCACTGATTTTTTCACTGAACGTCTCCAATTTCGCCGGAGGTGTGCACGGACATCAAGCGATCGTTTCTTTCTTGCCGTAAGTCACTACGGTAGATCATGGAGCTCTTCCATGGTCGACACTGAACAACGCCATTTGCTGCTAACTCAGCATCAATCAATCAATCAATCAATCATCACATACCCTGGGTTTACAGGAGTTGTAACACAACACGCACACAAAAAACAAATGGAACATTGAGAGACATAGTCTGGGGTTTAGGTGAGAACGGCAAGTCTGGTGAGAGGCAAAGACAGCGCTGTCGGCAGCACGAACCAAGGGGGCTACCCATCCCGCCATGACATCCAACAGATGCCACGTGTTCGTGTCTAGCAGGGCTGAAGTCACTCAAGTTGACTTGCCTGTAACCTCATACCACCGTAGATCAGGGTTGCGGGGGGCGATGCAGAGGTGAGATACCATCACAGACTGTCGGCAACACGAACCAAAGGGGCTACCCATCCCACCGTGACGTCCACGATACAGACGCCACGTGTCCGCATCTAAGCAGCTGCCTGTTGCTCGAAATCCCCGATAAGCACCCCACACCCGTCAGAGGGTCTCCCACGCCATACACACGAACAAAACAGTGTCACTCACAGAGCTAAGGCATAGAAAGACGCCTTAGAAAATACAGCAGTCGAGCCGCCATCTATCCACCATTACCCTAACCCTCGCTGCGGAGTAAGCCGCGCGCATGCGCCATGCAGAAGCGTTGTCGAATGCGCTAGCTGTGCGCGCGTACGGTTACCAGGCGAGTTGACAGACCTGCAGGGGAACTCTTAGCCTCCAGTGCCTTCTGTAAGTCAGTGTGCACTTACACTGTTGGAAGAGTCAGCGTGGTGTTACGCGAGCATTGGCAGGTGCATGCGCAACGAGGTATCGCTGGCGGATAAGGCGCATGCGCTTATATTTAGCACAGGCTTACCTCGACCGGGTCCGCTTGCTCTGTCTATCTTGAAGGCACAAGAAGTCACAACGAATGGCGTGTATTGACTCTCGCGTGCTATCTACTAGCCCGTGTCAGACTCTTTGCGAGCTACTTCGCCGAGGGTTTGCACTTTAATGCTGTGTGCTGTGGTATATTATATAGAAGTGTCCAAATCAGCCCTGACCCCCCAATTGGTTGACAAGCACTAGCTGCCAATAGCAAGAAGAATATATACACGTAGCATAATATTATGATCCATGGTTGGACTACCTGCCCTCAAAGAAATGCCAGTTTCTCCTCCGATTGCATAGCTACTAGCATACATTAAAAAAAACAGTCAGAATTGAAGCGCTGAAAGTACGATGTAATTTTTTTGGAGTATCCTCCAATCCCTTCACTATCATGGTTGACTTGCGTGTTGTAAACCTAGATAACGAGTAAAGGAAAGATCGATACTACCGCACATTATTATTTTATTAACACACCACTAGCTATCCCGAGGAAAGCCAGAAAGGCGAAAAGCGTCGCTCTGTCTTCCCGTAGTATGCCGCGAAAGTACAAGGCGTTGCTGCGCAGGTCCGCGTGAAAACCGCGGCTAGGTGCCGCCATCCTCACCAGAGGCCTGGGACCTACCAATCTGACCAGTTTCTGGAGCGATACCATTGCAAAAGCTAGTTCACTGTAAAGACTGTTACGGTGCGGTCTCGCCGACTGTCTTCCTTTTTATACCAAAAGAGGGTGCTGGCTAGACGTCATGCGCAATCTCACGCGTTTGACCCCATTAACCTCATCCGTACGGTTGATTCATAGCCAAGTTTGAACTGAACTTTTGCTACATTACGTAGGAATCGGTACGTGTTATTGCATGAATTCCCCGGCTACCCAGGAAGCAATGCACGGCCATTCCTACGGTGATCCGAGGATCCACATGTGCTTGCAGCCTGCTTGCCTATTCTCCCCAGTCACAGCGCAATATGCGCTGTGGAAACACCGAAGTCAGAGAGCCCCGGAATACCGCCCCCAGAGTCGCATGCTCACATGACAGCAGTGCAGTAGCTGTATTGCTCTATGCCCTTGAGGCGTCTTTGTCATGCTTGTCGTAGCCATAGCAGTCCTCTGCTGCTGGGGGTTTTCCATTTGTTTGGGTTGCCGGCCGTGACCGGTTTTGGGGACGCGCCGAGATTCAGTCGGGGAAAATAGCAGATGATATGGTTAACTATAATTAAGCTAAGCCCTAGCCGAAAGTCACATCTTCTAGCGAGTTTGCGCCGAAGAGCTGGTCGGGGTAAGCCGTTGCCACGATAGCTGTTTCTGAAGCGAGACGCTGCCTCATCCTGCGAGCATTATACACGCGACGATTCCTCAATGACGTTGCACTCTCGCGTCGTCGTCTCGAGGCATATTGGCGCCCATGAAAAAAATAGGCCTAGCTATGTAATGGCGCAATTCGACCAGCATCCATATATAGCTAGGAGTTATTAGTTCGCACTGAACGTATATTACTTATAGTCATAGCGACATCTACGAAACCAGGTTTGTTAGCTTTTTCCTGGGTACAGTATCTATAGCTAGCTAATCAAGCGAAATTCATGGCGTCCCCAGTTGTTCGACTCCAATGTCTTCAACCATTCCCAAGGCCCCACTTGATGTAACAACCACTCCCATGCGCCATAGAAAGACGAATCTGTGATTACTGACAAAAGTGACACATTTCCAAGTAGGGGTGTGTTTCAAATGGAGGGGGTGCATTTACTGTTACTCATTTACATTGCATGTGCATTTACTGTATATACTCGCATTCCATATGGACGTTGACCTTTGCCACCCGGTCACGTCCGTTTTTTTCTATATATAGCGCAAAATTAGCTTCCCGCGTACCGAAGCAGGCAACTGCGCATAATGGAGACGGACCGTTCGCTCCTGGGTGAGTCGCGCACGAGTTTTCTCTCCCATAGACATTGTATGGAGGAGGAATATGAATATGCTAATGAGTTTGGAAAACAAGGTAGGAAAAATCAGAGAAATATACCTAAATTCACTATAAATCACGAGCGTTTTAGCTGTGCTATTGAAACATACGCCCACACACAATTCTCCGGAATCTGAAGTGGCAAGACACAAATTTCTAGAGCTAAACTAGCAGAAGAAGAGCTATAATTATACATAAGCAGAGAAAAAGTATGAAAGTGTTACCAGCCTAGCTCTGATCATGCGCAGTGGCCTGGAACTTAGTTCACTTCATATATACTCAATCAAAAACATTAGTCAACTAAGAAGGTTCTCCTTTCTTTCTCTTGTACACAGAGGGCACTCCATCATTTGGCACTGGCTGCATCTTCTCGCTCACGGTGGAGTACTTGGCAGGCTTGTCTCGGAGGTAGTAGAGTTTGGCTCGCCGCCTCCTCTCCAGCTTCAGGACCTGTATCTCTCTGATGGCCGGGGAGTAGAGCTCATACATCATCTCAACACCCATTCCATTCAGAACATTGCGGAGGATAAAAGTGGAGCCCAGACCCTTGTTGCGACGGGCGATACAGATACCGACAAACTTTGATGTGCCACTAGGGGAGTGTGGATCAGCTCGTGTCACGGCCAGGTAGCTCCCGGCTGTGAAGAAGGGAATTTCAATGCTGCGACGTCTCTTTTCAATGTCTGACTGGTTGAGAAAGTTCAGAAGGTCAGTATTTTTACCTCCTTTGGTGTATGACAGACAGTATCATTGACGGTCACGTGCGTAGTGGTTGGAACTCTCTCATTGCTGGCTGTGCCAAGGGAGTCCTTTCCAGATGAAAGCCATCTTCTATACAATACACCTCCTAAAACACATTACACGGTATACGTAATAGCAACATATCTTCCATCATTAACTCCACCTAGAGCTGCTCTGTGAATCAATCTCGAGTGCATGCAGCAAACTCCAGCCATCACCAATCGAATCCTATTTGATGCGCCCCCTGAAATGCGCGTGCGCGAGTCCGCAGGCTAGGCCGCCGCGCGCATGGCAGCCTGGACACACGCGCGCCCCCGCGCTAGTTCGGCCGGCTATATATACCGGCGCCGCGCCATAGCGCGCAGCGGCGGCGTTATTATATAGTGCCTGGGCTCCATCGATCTCGCAGGCACAGATTATTTTTGTTCTCTAACCTTCGCAACTGCGCGTATTGATGGCAGAGATTCGCTACCTGCTTCTATTGTTTTATGTTTCAGCTGCGCTGGGAAGCCATTTTCGCGGAGCTATATTCATGGTTCGACCGAATCCTGGCGGAGGAGAAAATGAGGTACGTGTCGTTTTACACAGAAACAAAGGAAACTAATATTGTTGAAATTTTGTAAAGACACAACATGCTCCTACACATTTCCTTTTTTGTTCTGACTTCAAAGCTAAGTATTTTCACTTTACATGAGCATGGAGTTTTCCTTTCCTTACAGGAACTTGAGCATTAGTCTAGACCTGGCATTTATAGCCTGAGCTAACATATGCAGCTAGCTACCATAATTTTAATATTTAATGACACTGTAGGAAAATCCACTCACCCTGAAGCCCCTTATCCCCTAACTGCTTCATCGCTAGTCCTGGAGAAAGTGCGATTGATTCCCCTAACACTATAGACTCACAGATTCCAATGAAGCTGCCTGAGCATCTTTTCTTCCAAGATTTCACTAAAAGTTGCCTAACCTGCTACCAGCAAAAGAAGCCTGTGTACACAAATTGCTATTAGTAATGGCCCTTACCTTCCTCCTGCTATTATTCATTGCACCTCCCGTCCACCACTAGCAGCAAAATCAGTCTGTCTGTTACCACGTTTTCTGCCACCGCGCGCACGAAATCAGGTAAATAGCGATATGATCGGGTTCAGTGCTACACTGGGTTGAATTTAAAAAAGGCGATTTTCGTATAACTGCTGCGTTCAAAAGTTATGGCGTGAAAACAAGTGAACAAGCCAATAGCCCAGTTGCACGTAAGAGTCAAGGTATTTCAATCACCCGTGACGTCATTGCCGGTTGCTGCTGGTGGGCAGGAAAGTAACGGAGAAATCGCAACCGCCCGTTTTCAAAGTCTCGCGAGGCGCGCACAGTACCGCATATTCATATTTAAAGAGCGCAAGCTAATATTGAAATCTCTAGCGTCTCTGCCGGTCTTTGTCCGAAGCCGAAACGACGAACGGTCGAGGACGTGTGTAGGTCACACATTAGTGGTTTGTGGCAACACCAAGGCAAAAGATTCGAATGTAACCTTTCACTGGATACCAAAAGGTACAGAAAGAAGAGCGTGGTGGCTGGAAGTGTTTGGTATTTGTGAGGAAGTTGTCAAGGAGAGTACCAGAGTTTGTTGTCGACACTTTCCATGGATCAACAAGGGGAAGCTTCACCCCTAGACAGCCAAGCTTTCTCCCAAGGACATCACGTCACAGAGAGTTTTAACATTTTAGTGATTCATTCCCCTTATGGCCTTGCACCTCGACACTACGTTTTCCTCTTTATGAGAACGAACCCATGATTATGCCAGCTGCAAAGCTCGTGTAGTGTTATCTCATATTGAGTCTTCTCCGTATTGTCTGGATGAAACCTTTTGCGTTAATGACAACCATAGTAATGGCCCTTACCTTCCTCCTGCTATTATTCTTTGCACCCTCCATGCACCACTAGCAGCAAAATCAGTCCCTAGGTATAGCTAAGCGGCATAGTGACAGGTGGTACACAACATTCTTATAGCTATTTGGTATATACAATGTGTGTAGTAAAAGCATTGTGCAGTTTCATAGTTTTACTAGTGCCACTCTAGCTTGTACAAACAGAAACAGATTGGTTGCATCAACAAGGGGAAGCTTCACTCCCAGCCAAGCTTTCTCCCAAGGACATCGTATCACTGAGAGTTTAAACATTTTTAGTGATTCATTCCCCTTATGGCCTTGCACCTCGACACTACGTTTCCCTCTATATAGGAACGAACCCATGATTAAGCAATCTGCAAAGCTCATGAAGTGCTATCTCATAATAATAAGAGTCTTCTCCTTATTGTCTGGGTGAAACCCTTCGAATTTTGTTCATTTGATGACAAGTCCAATCAATTCAATGACAGATTGATTAATATTATGCTAACTGTATTATGTTGGCCCTCAGTCTGCTGCTGAGAAGGAATACAGGGAGTGGGCTTTTGGGCTCTGGTTTTCTCTGGTGCAGCATGCACCACAAGCAGCAAAATCGTCCCCAGGTATAGCTAAGGAGAGGTTAATGTCATAGTGGCAGGTGGTACACAACATTCTTATAGCCATTTGGCCTATCATATTGTAGAGGTACAATGTGTGTAGTAAGAGCATTGTGCATTTTCATAGTTTTACTAGTGCCACTCTAGCTTGTGTATCCTACTGCACATAAGACCAGAGTAGCTAGCTATATATGAAAAAGATTCCGGTTGCATCAACAAGGGGAAGCTTCACTCCCAGCCAAGCTTTCTCCCAAGGATATCATATCACTGAGAGTTTTAACATTTTAGTGATTCATTCCCCTTATGGCCTTGCACCTCGACACTACGTTTTCATCTGTATAAGAACGAACTCATGATTCAGCGAGCTGCAAAGCTCGTGTAGTGCTATCTCATATTATTAAGAGTCCTCTCCTTATTTTCTGGATGAAACCCTCTGAATTTTCTGCATTTGATGACCAGTGCAATCAATTCAATGACAGATTGATTAATATGCTAACTGTAGTATATATTATGTTGGCCCTCAGTCTGCTGCTGAGAAGGAATACAGGGAGTGGGCTTTTGGGCTCTGGTTTTCTCTGGTGCAGCAAATGTCTAATACAGTCAGTGATATATAGAGAGGCAGTCTGAGGGGGGGGAAGCCCATGGGGGTTGCATAACATGCTACCCAGCACGCACAAGAAGACGTAGCCGGCAAGCGCTCACTACATCTACTTCCTCTCAATGTCCATCTTGCCAAACTGAAAAATATTTCACTGTGGGGACACTCAGGTATAATACATAGCTACATCAGTTGCTTCTTGCAAAGAACCGTAGAGCTACTAATACACATTACCCCATGGACCGAGAGAACTTTACCGCAGTTGTATATACTTCGAGTCTTCCACATTCGAGACATAGTATAAACAGAAGCTCTGGAGGAAACTCTAACCACTTTCAACTCATGGTCCCAAGAGCATTTTTGCCGAGCGCGTTAGCGTGAGGCAACTACTCCGGGTTGTATTCTCGCGATATGCTTCTTTTAAGCGTGACGACACCTACATACGTATATACGTGTCGTCACGCTTAAGAATGTCAATTAGTCACGCTTAGGAATGTCACTTCCGTCATTCGTAGGAAGTCTAGCTTCCGCCGTGCTCGCAGATTCGTAGGAAGTCTGGCTTCGCGCGCAGTCAGTTGAGCGCGCGCACGAGCGGCCTCAGTCGGAGTGTTTACGCATTGGCTGGCAGGCGCGAGGCAAAATATGCGCGTGCGCATTCCTAGTAAAAATATTGTGCAGTGCAAAGTTTTAACGTCTGTACTACAGTTAGGCCATTGTGTTCATTACGGATCTGTAGTTCATACAGGTATGTAGCAATGCGTGCTCATCGCATCAGGGGTTGTGGCATGTTTGGTGTATCACAGCCTTGCTAGATGTTCTAATAGGGATGGCACAGGTCAGTTATCGTTTCACATAATAGTCACTTGCTAAGACTTCAAAATGCACTAGTAATTAATAGCCGAGCAGTCAGCCCAAACCAGTTGAATCACCGTTTTTTCACCAAATAATGTTGCTAAACGGGTGGGGCGGGGTTATGCACGCACAGCAGAGACGTGACTCAATGCTGTGTGAGTTAACTGAAAGTACAAAAGCTCAAAATTTATTAGTCACTGCATGGCAACTATTTTTTTTATAACCATGTGAATCGAGTCCCTGTTTTGTTGTTTTGTTAA